TCCTTGCAAATTCTACAATGTGTCAGTTTTTCCTCTCCGCTACTCCATTTTGTTGTGGAGTGTGGGCACAAGAACTCTGATGAATAACCCCAAACTTCTCAAGATAGAAGGTAAGGTCCTTCTCAAAATATTCTTTAGCATTGTCTGACCGGAATATTTTGATGCAGTTATTAAACTAAGTGAGTATGTGTTCATGGAACTGTTGCACAAGTTTAGACACTTCAGCCCAAGAGTGCATAAGGTAAATCTAAGTATATCGTGAAAAATCATCAATAAACAGGATGAAATATTTATACCAACCCATACGTGGTAAATGGTAAGGCCCCCACACATCAGAGTGAACAATATTAAAAGGAATAGTTGATCTTTTATTACTTGAAGGATAAGTGCTCTTACAATGCTTTGAGAACTCACAAGACTCGCAATGAAGACTCGATAGACTAATTCCTTTAAATAACTTTGGAAACAATTGACTCAATAAAGAAAAGGACAAATGACCCAAACGACTATGACATAACATAATACGACTAATGGACTCTGAAACAAATGCAGTTCTCTTAGGTTGTACTTGGCTCTGCTCAGGTTTGTTTAACAAATAGATCCCATTCGCCTCATGGCCACTCCCAATCACCTTTTGAGACTCCATGTCCTAAAAAACAATATGAAAGAAAAAAGGTCATACTACAATTCAGGAATTTAGTCAAATTACTAACTGAAAGCAAATTGGTATTAGGTTTAGGTACATGAAGAACAGATGATAAGGTCAAGGCATTAGAGGTCTTAACGTCTCCCTTTCCCATGATAGGGGCTAGGGAGCCATCAGCAAGGGATATCTTATCCCGACCAGAAAGAAGTTGGTAAGAGGTGAATAAGTGTGAAACATTGGTCATATGGTCAGAAGCACCAGAATCAATTATCCAAGGGGTTTTATGAGTACCTGAGATAGAAGCATGATGTGCAGTGACACAAATACTTGAGTGAGCATATGCAGAGGAAGGAACAATCTCTTATGGAGCTATGGCATTGGACTCCAAGTGGCTGATGATTCGGCCATGCTTCTCATATTCAGCCCTGGTGACTGCAAGTCGTTCTCCCACTGACTTCTCTCCACCCTGTCCTTGTTCACCTTGTAAAGAGGTGGCTATATTTGCATTTCCACCATTTCCAGTTTCAACCCTTTTCCCACCATTTTCTTTCTTGAATCTGGTAGGAACGAGCTCTGGATGCAGCTTCCAACATGTGTCTTTAGTGTGTTTAAGCTTCTTGCAGTATTCATAGATAACATCTTTCTTCCCAGTGCTAACCTTCAGCTTCATCCCCGCATTAGCATAGTGATCAACTTATGACTCAACAGACTGAACCTGTCTTCTGCTCTCCTCACTGCTCACCATAGCATATGCCTGAGACAAAGTCACATCATCCTTTGCTAAAACATTCTACCTCACAATATCATACTCCAAGTAGAGTCCGGTGAGGAACTCAAAAACCCAATTTCTTTCCACCAACCTCCTATATGTTTCTGCATCCTTTGTACAACCCCAAACAACAGTTTTCATCATATCAATCTCTTGCCAAAGAGATTTCAGCATAGAGAAGTAGGCTGCTAAGGGCTTCTCCCCCTGTCTAGGATTATTCACATCATGCTTCAATTTGTAGGCCCGAGCAACATTAAGCTTTTGGGAATAGGTCTTTGTGACACTATCCCACACTTCTTTTGCAGTTTCCACCCACAGGTAATGCTAACTAATGTGTGGTTCCATAGAATTCACTAACCAACCCACTACTGTGTAGTTTTCCTACATCCACCTTTCATAGGTAGAATCGTCCTCCTCCGGTTTCTTCTTGCTCCCGGTAATATAGCCCCATTTTCCTCTACTACACACATGTATCTTAATAGATTGAGACCAAGTTAAATAATTGGTCCCATCTAGCTTCACAATAGTCACAACCCCAAAACGATTCTCCACTGACCCCCCATGTCCAAACCCGAAATCTGTGGAATATTTAGTCTCTCCTCTAGTTTGCTCCATTGAGTAAACGGATGCAAACGAAAATCAAATTAGGGTTTTACTAGGCTAGATTTACTGTTCTAAGCAAAGAACAACCTCCCAACCCCCCAAAATTAGGGTTTCACAGGGTCCTGTGGGATGGGGAGAAAAAAGAAAAACGTCAACCACCCCTTCCAAAGGTTCCAGAATTCAATCCAACCAAAACCACCCCTAATAGAAATCAAAAGGCTTACCTTTGATCCCCAAGCGCCTGGTTCAAACTGTCTCTACGACCTATAACAAGGTTTCTCTAGTTATCTAGGGTTTTCGGGAAAAATCTCCAAGAACCTGCCCTGGGCTTCAACTAAGGATGAAAAACCTCCACAAAACTCTCCAAAAACCTTCCTAACTGGGCTGTATAAGTAGTTGAGTGATTAATCAATCAGTTCTCCATACACACTATGAATGGGAAAAGAAAGGAGAAAAAAGTCGAAAGTGAGAACCCACTCTGATACCAAGTTGAAAATTACACCTACAGTAATTCAGATAATGCAAAAAAAAAAGAAGAAAAGAGAGAAAGAGAAGGAAGAAGAAAAGAAATTTCAGCAATAGGTTGTGGAAGAAGAAAAGAAGGGAAAAGATAAAAGAAGAATCCGAACCTCTCTCTCTAGCCCCCTTTCATCTCTTTTATTATAATTCTAAGTCTGAGTACAATTACTTGGATCCCTTAATGGGGCAGTCAGCACTAAAGAAATAATTAAAGAAGATAAAAGAAGGCCTATAACTAAAAAGCATAACTTTTAAACACTACTTAAAAGAAATAAAGAACACCAGTGCCCATTCGGCCCATTCTCACTACACCAACAAAGTTGATAAGCCAACAAATCTACTTGGTTAAAAGGCCATTACATAATATTGGTCTTGGCAATTTAGGATCTTGGCCTGGGAGGGATAGAGTGGATGCAAATCTAACCTCTGGTATTTTTTGCACAAAGTGGCTACTCTCACTCTATAATCCATGTTATTATGCTTGTTAACCCATGTTTATCAAATCTTTAATGCCTACACAGTTCAGTTCTCATATAATTGGGATAAAAAAGGTCATCACCCAATGTTGGTCATACGTGTTCAAAACGTTTGTGCTTGTAAAAGATGATACTATAGAAATAGTATTGTTATAAGTACATAAATATAAAGACATACAAGTCTTATGCATCTATCTAAATATATATATATATATATGCCGACATGGACCAATCAATATCCATATACATATACATGAATATATAGGAAAAAAATCAAGAAAACCAAGTATTGTAAATAATATTTGAAACAATAATGTATATAAATTAATTATATAATACTGTTGCCGTCCTTTTAATGCTAATACAGCACTGCCATCCAACGTTGCAACATTTGCAAAAAGGCAGTGTTCCTTCAGTCTGTAATATGAAGGACTTTTCTCTTGCAATGGTGAAATAGGAGCAGTGCAGCATGGTCAAAACTTTACCACCTTGGCCTAGAGTCATACTAGAGAGGAGTGAGGAAACACTTAAGGGGCTGTGGATATACTGTTGTTTAGGTTATAATAAAAACAGAAAAGCTACACAGAGTGGCAAAAGCCAAACTACCCATCAAGGCATGGTCCAAAACCAGTTCATCCCATGTGAAAGTCCAAACGCCATTTGGGTAGCATTATATATGTATCTTCAAGTATTAATTTCTAGTTTAACTTGCACTGAAATCACATTTAACATATCAGTAGCATTGTCCACACAAGATAACTAAAGTAAATGGTTATACACAGTGTGAAATACATATACAACACATCTAGACATGCTGTATGTCTAAAAACTTAATTTATCATTCCTTGTTACCAGAAATTCCCAAGATATATACAAATTCCCCACATCTACAATTCCACTTGTATCAAGTCAATTGTCTATAACAATTTATGATCTATAAATTTATTTTCTGATAACTAGGTTTTTTTTCATATTAGCAAGATCTGGAGAACTGTCTATGCAAATCCAAATCACAACATCTCACACCATCCATTTGTACGACAGCAAATTATTAAATATTTTAAGATTGCAGATTGTTGAAGAATATAGATAACCTATACCACTAGGACAATACCGTTATATACCATATGCTATATATCTTTCCTTACCTTCATATGATACTTTCTTTACCTGGCAACCATTAATAAAACATTCTCATAATTCACTCATCAGATGTAAATAAAACTGATATGCCACCAGTTGTGACAAATAATTATCGAAACCAGGATGGATATCAAACAGAAAAGCAGATGGCAGACCAAACTGATTATGTGCATAAAACTGGATTGAACTAATGATATTAATAAGTAAATAAAATTTAAATATGTATCTCTTTCCTCTCAAGATATTTACCTCTGGGATAGGACTTTTAACTTCCATAATCCTTTTCCCCCACTCCCTCTCTTCCTCTCTTCACTCTCTCCCTCCACCTCTTTCAACTTTTCCCGTCCACTCTTCCAATCCCTCCCTCAACTTCATAATCCCAACCTTCCATTTTTCTTGCAACTTCTTCCCTCATAAAAATCAGTTGGATGGCTAAGTTACAACCAAACAATTGAACATGCTGCATGTTTTAAGTGTTGGATGAATTCAATCAAGATAAAGGAATGAACCAGATTTTGAATGAACTCATCTAATAGGAGAGTTGAGAATTCCTAGGTTTCCGATTTCAAAATGCTGGACTAATCTCAGTTGGTTAACCATAATAAATGCAAAACCAGACCAAGAATGTCCTATAAAGATTCAAGTTGCTTTTGAAAAGAAATCAGGCATCACCAACAATAGGGGTGCAAGTCAGGTTTCCTGAGTTGAAGAATTTTAACTACATCAGGCTTGAACCCATTCAAAATTTAAAAAATGCTTAACCCAACTAGACCCAAGTTGCACTTCTACGTCCTAATAAATTTAAAAACGTCTTACAGGGATATTCCAAGTAGACAAGACTTACTTGTGCATATTTACCCAACTTACTCCAGGCTTCATCATAGAAATGACTGTATTGTGAGCCTTAAGTACAGCCTGCAAGTCACAAGTCCTTTTACTAACAAAAACAAGAAACTTCTAATGATGAGAAACTAGAAGATATTTATCCAATTAGTAAATAAGTACAAATAGAGGAAATGCCAGAAAGACTATTGGAATTTGGTAACTACTTTAGAATAAGGTACTTACATTATAAATTAGAAGCTGATCACTTGTAAAATTTCCATTAACCTGCACCAGATTGCAAATAAGTGCATTATTAGAACAATAAACTAAAAAGAGACAGTTCAATAGCTATGTTTTGCAATTGCCAAAAGAACTAAAAAAAAGATAAGAAAAAAACTACATTCCAAACTGTGGCACAAAGCATGGCAATTCTAAGAGAAAGACTTCATTTAAGATACTAAGGCTTTTTTTTTCTTTCTATTTTCCTTTTCCCGAAATAATATTAGAATAGTTGCAATCTCCAGAGTGGAAACACAATGCTTGAAAGTAGAATTAGAAAAGTAACAAGCAAGGGAGGGCGATGTGCTTTAAGATGCAAGGAAAATTTACAATTAATATAAGTACAATCTTGTGTACTTACCACCTAGTTTTTATCTTCTTGTATTAAAAAAATGCAGAATGCAACATGGTTGGAAAATGGAATAGCCTGAGGGATTTCAAAAAAAAAAAATGTAATTAGGGTATTTACCCCATAGTAATACAACCTTCCCTCATCTATCACAGAGACAGAGATGTGTGTGCTTATGCAGTTGTTTGTTTGTGCAAGCTTAATTTACCATCCATGAAAAGGAAATTTACTAGTAGCCACCAAGTTCTTTACCCAGGAACTCCAAGCAACATGTAAAATCATTAGAACTCCATGGCCCCAATGTGATTGAAAACTAAGTTTTTTTCTCCTTTGATTGGTAACCAGACATTTTATTAATATGCGGGAAAAGAATGGCATATAATACAAATTTCCCAAGCATCATTCATGACCAAATTGTCCTTAATGATGAAAATGTTTCCTGGGACTCCCTTTCTCAATACTCAATACCCATTAAACTCATCCATTAGTTCACCACAAATAGAAATAACCCCAGTTTTTTAACTCTAGCATGAAACTTTTTTTATAAGTAATCAATAACTGAAGCCATTACAAGCATCCCTTAGAGAGACACTAGATGCTACCTCCCAAGAAAAAAAGAAGTTACATATTACATTTGAGCCCAATACAAATGGTTTCTATTCACCCTTTGCGTAGCTAAAGCATCAGTCATCATATTAGCCAATCTTCTTACCCATTATATCCCCATGTTCATATTTCTAGTGAGCCATTTAAATTTCTTCATTTCTCCTCTGTAGCCCACTGGGCCCAAGAGCAAAGCAATAATATTTTTTTTTTGAAAAAGGTAAGGTAATTTTATTAAGATATGAAAATAGGATACAAATAGGCCCCTTTTAAGAGAAACTAGGACCGAAACCCAGATTACATTACAATGGGCTCCAAACTCCCTGGTTTGGAAACCTTTAACAGATGCAGTCCAAGACACCACTTTGCCAAAAGAATTAGAAATGAGGTTGTCTACTTCCTTAGCCTTGTTCTGAAACACTCTATTGTTTCTCTCCGCCCAGATGGTGCTGATCGCTGCTGTAGGAATTGATCTCCATACACTTTTGGCCAACTTGGAAAGCCTTAAACAATCCCAGCACCATAGCAGATCCAACACTGACTTTGGCATGGCCCAGGATAATCCCATGGAAGAAAGATAGTGATTCAATAAAGACATCAAAACAGAACAGTGGAGGAACAAATGATTATTGTCCTCTTCCTGCTGACTGCATAACACAATGTAAAACTTGAATCTGCAATCCTCTCCTCACCAGGCTTTTCTTAGTAAGGCATCTATCCAAAGGCAGCACCCCAGACAAGAGCATTTACTTAGGTAGGGGCTGCTGCATTCCAGATGGTAGCAGCTGGAAATTCAGGTCTGTTACCTCCTTCCAAATTTCTGGCAAAGGACCTCACTGAAAATGATCCGTCTGTACTCCAGATCCAGCTCCAACTATCTTCTTCCAGCAGGTTTATGATCTGATTGGATATCAGCTCAAACAGCTCCCTCACTTGATTAATTTCCCAATCCTGGAAGTTTCTTCTGAATGAGGGGCTCCAAGATGGAGTTGTTTACAACTTCATAGCACTCGACCACCAAAGCTTCCTGATTGTCAGCCAGGAGGTACAACTGAGGAAACAACTCTGTCAAAGACCTTTCTGAACACCCTTTGTCTTTCCAGAGTTTTCAATGCTGACCATTTCCCACCTTCAGAACCAGACTCCTATTCAGCAAAGGATACAAATCCATGATCTTCTTCCAAAGGGAGCACCCTAGGGAATTAACACTAGAGCTAGTTATCCAATCACCTCTGTCAGTGTCATATTTAGCTGCAACCAATTTCCTCCACTAGCTATCCTTCTCTGTCCCAAACCTCCAGATCCATTTTCCAAGGAGGGCTTTATTAAATATTTTCAGCTTTCTAATCCTCAGACCCCCTTTGCCTTTGGGAGAACAAATTTGGTCACAACTGACCAAGTGAATTCTTTTTTCCTCATCCCAACCTTTCCATAAAAAATCTCTCTGGAGGGGCCTGGGTTACCTCCTATATTTCAAATTACCCCTCGTATTCCAAAGGGGCCTGGGTTACCTTGACTGCTTCCATCAAAATTAACTCCACATATCCTTCAGAAAGCGGCAACCACTCATTTTCTTTTGATAATTGAAGTTAGATTTCATTAAATCTGAAAATATAATCATTACAAGCATCCCTTAGAGAGGCACAAGATGCTACCTCTCTATAAACAAAACAGAAAAATTACAAGTGAGCCCAAAACAAAGATTGTCTATTCACCCCTTCACCCCTTGCTTGGCTAGAGTATCAGCTAACCCATTTGCTGATCTCCTCACCCATTGTATCCTCAAATTCATATTCTTGGTGATCCATAAGAACCTTTTTAATTCATCCCTGTAGCACCAAATCACAGATTCTGGATCCTTTAACAAACCCACCACCAATTTTGAGTACCCTTCAATCACCAAATTGGTTATGTTCAGCTCATTTGCAAATTGTGCTCCTTGAAAGGCTGCAAGCAATTCTGCCTTGAGAGAATCCCCATACCCCAGTGGACCAGAAAACAAGGCTATTAATTTGTCTTCCATGTCTCTCACAACCCCTCCTATACCAGCAGGTCCTGGAAGTGGCAACCACACTGAGTTACCTTTTCCTTCTCAAACAAGCTTCTAGCCACCACCTCCCAATTTCTCCATATATCATCAAAAGAAACTGTAAAAAGGCGTCCATGGTTCTAATCCAGTGATTACCCTGGACAACACACAATCTCTAACCTCTTCTTTGCTGCCTTCATGCATCTCCACATAATTCTTCTCCTTTTAATAATACTCTTTTTTCTTAGAAAGCTTAGTTTCATGAAAAGCTATTCATTGGAGAAGTAGGGCCCAACCAAATGGCCTTTGACCAGGAAGAAAGGAGAATTAAGAGCCACGGCCTTGAAAAAACACGAACAAGAAAAAAGGCATCTGAGACCACTGAGACCAAAGAACAAACTTTCCTATCCATCATAGATTGGATAAAAACATCGGTAAGGCAGTGTGCAAGAGAACTAGCCTTAAGATGATGCACTCCTTGGCAACCATGTAGCAGAAAACTCAAGTTGATGGTTAATGATAAGAAGAGAGCAAATTGAATTGGATTATATACTCACAGGGAATGAACATGTTATGTCAGAACCATAAAAATGATACTCAGCTCCCATATCTAGCAGTGCCATATCTCCATCGTTTAAGGTCTGCAAAGAAGCTATGAGAAATTTAAAATCACAGACCAATATCACAAATGTACTAACTTATTAGGAATTTCTACAATAAAATGAAATCTGAACTCAACCATTACCTTCCAACAAACTAAAAAACACAAGAAAAAATGTTAGTAACAATGGATCAAGTAAGGTACTTCTATTAGCACTAAATGAAAGTTCAACAAACAAACAAACAACACTCTCAATGAACAATGAGAAAGGATATTAATAATGCAGGCATTGTTAAAAGCAAAAAATGGAATTTCTCAAAGCATTTGTTTTCGAGTCCATAAAGGAAAAAACTTTGTTATTTCCAAGGAGTGATTAATTCCACATGATTTGCAGAATTCATTTGTGTCACTGTCACTCCACTGAATGTATATAATAAGTTTATCTCACCCAGAAAAGAAAAAGCAATTACAATTGAGTGCAGGATAGCTCCATTTACCCTTGCTTGGCCAAAAAAGTGTCAGCCAAGCCATTTGCCAACCTGGGTACCCACTGATAGCTTATCAACATACTCCACTGAATATTTTAGCTGCTTAGAATTAAATACTTGATTTTTTTGTCAATAGCAATAAAGATTATCGAGGATATTTCTTGATGAAATGGTAACAATTTGAGCTGAAAAGCGAAAAACATAGGATTGTTATGCCAGCAAATAGACAAGAGCTGATTTAGAGGGGTCAGAGTGAGGAAGGACAGGATGATCTTTCACAAATTTAACTTGCTTATTATATTATCATTCTTTTTAGGGGCCATTACTTGATGTAATGATACAATCTCAGGCTCGCATGCATGAGAATGCAGGTTCAAGTCTGAGGATGACCACCTTGTGCGGAAAAATAAAATGCCAAAGGTTAGGATCATACCCAGTCTACCCCTCCCAAGACCCCAGAGAACTGGGAACGACATTGAGTAATGGCCTTATTAATATCACCTTTCTTTTAAAGAAATAATAACAAATGAAAAACTGAAACAACTGAGTTAAAAGTTTGTCTATATTAGCTGGACAACTGGAAGGCATTAATTCTGAAATATTTTAAAACGATGCTTCTAGGAAAAAAATGGAAAGAAAATCAATGCTTAAGGAGTCAAATACAACAAATAGCAAAACCTTTTTTAAAAGGGACATCCTCGCTCTTTGGTATTGATTCCACCAAATATTTAACAGTAAACAAGTTCAAGAATGAAGAAAATATGAAACATAACATCTAACATACCCTATCATTTGGAGCAGCTGCATGACCATAATGGAGAACAGCACTGCAAATAAAAAGTAAAATTACTTCAAAATTGATAGCAATTATGGTTGAGATTGGAGACGTAAACATGCTTCTATTTCATTCGCCAGTCCACTCCTTTTTTATGTTTATCTATAGTTCAGGATATCTTCATCAAAGTGCATTTTGGCTACTTTTTATTATCTCAAGTATCTGTCAAATCTAGCAATAAAATGCCGTAGAAGATGAGTCACTTCTGTCATTATAGCTTAGAAATTGCTGTTTTGTTCTTTTTACCAGATGTCAGTGAATTGAGCCAGGTGGCATCCACTTGAGATTCAGCAGCACTCTCCATCTGGATAGTATCCAAATAATACTGGATTTTTTTCAATATCCAAATAACACTAAATACTTTTCCCAAAAGAATAGATGTTAAGATTTTCAAGAAAGAAAACAAACAAATGACAAATTCAAGTATTGTTCATAATATAATAATAATAATAGAAAGGCAAGGGATGAATGACAAGGTAAAGAGGGAAAGGTGATGTTTTGTTTGTGTAGACCCAGTCACAAGCTGCATATTTCCACAACTGTCGTGTATGTTATTTAGTAAGTTTGTGATGTGTACGTACTTGTGCACCTGTAAATGCGTCTGTGGATGATAAATAAAAAAAAAAAAAAAAGTACAAGAAAAAATCCTCACCTATTATCACCAGTAGCACAAATGCATGTGTATGAACAATGCCTACAACCACCATACATGTAAATGTGGTGAAGAAATATGCTTTCCAACTGATATTCTTTCATGTCCACTCTTGCTTTCCTCATAACCTAATCAAAATGCATGAAAGAAATCATAATCAGAGCTTAATCTTTGTCATAATTTTTTCCTTCTGTCCTGCATAATTATCAGTAAGGTGCCATTTGAGAACAGCTGCAGTGACTTAATGAGTTATTGCTTTGTCTTTCAGTAAAATAAGTTATTAAGGAGGTCGCAAGCTCCGTAATGTCTCAAACTTTGCAATCAAATATTTAGCTTTTTAATTATTTCATCCACTAAAATACAAAGCAATAAGTCATTTAGTTCATCTACTTCAGCTGTTACAGAATGGCCCCCAAGTCAAATAAACAATATGGTAAAGAAAATTCATGAAATAACAGAAACTAAACATAGACGTAGGTATATACTGTGGAATATAGGTAATATAAATATGTATTTGGTTGAATAGAGCAGGAGCAGCTGAACCTATATATCCAGTGTTTTAAAAGCAAGAGGCACAAGAAAAGCACGGTAGCCTTCTGGTGCCAAGGCAAAAGATGGGCATGTGCCTAGACAAAACAAGGCGCTGATTTAAAAATAACAAATAAAAACATCAATATATAAAAATATGGAACATTGAATTTTAAAAGAAACTAAATGTTTTAAAAAGCTTATTATCAAAATACATAAGCATAACATATAAAACAAAAGTAAAATTGAAGCAAAAAAAATGTGGATCATACCAAACAAAGTGTTTCAAGCATTTAACAATTCAAGCAGGTGAAATTCTCAACATGTTTGTTTATCTCCTAGTTGCATTACTTCAAGTAGTTAGTGTGATGTTAGACATCTTGTGTTCCTAATCTTAGGAGGTCAGGGCCTTAACAGTGATGTTTCTTCAATGCCCCTTGAGATAAATCTAAACAAGCCCATCTAGGGGGTTTGGACTTTGGAGGTACCAACATGGGACAAATGGATCATAACATTCCACCATGCTCCGAAGTCCCAGCACCCACGCAGGCTGGCTTTGCACTAGTCCACCTAGTCCCGGCCAAACACTGCAATACCGACGTCACCACCTGAACTTGTGCTTTTGTGGTAAGCCTTTTTGTGCACTTTATTTGGTCCCGGTTCTCTTATCTCTTTGGTTGCAGGTGGACACCTCCCCCAGATGTGGTAAGCCTCTTTTTCAGGCAACCGAAGAGGTATGGTAGATTTATGTGGAGAGCCACAAGAGCAGCTATACACTGGTCGGTTTGGGAAGAAAGAAACAACAAGATCTTTAAAGGAGTGGAGAAATCCAAGGAGAAAACTGTAGAAAGAATAACCATTATGACTACTATCCACTATTTGAAAACTCTAGATTTGTTTAAGGATTTCTCAGCGGAGGACATGTTTAGGAATTGGGGAGTGGTGGCAGCTGCAACATCCACAAAACCTATTGTGCAAGAACTGTGGTCCCCACCAACACAACAAAGAATAAAGTTGAACTTTGATAGGAGCTCTAGGGGTAACCTGGGGCCTTCAGGTATAGGGGGAGTATTCAGAGATGGAGATGGGAGAATTGTTGCTATGTTTTCTGGGCCAATAGAGGTGGATGACTCATTGAGAGCAAAGGTGATGACTCTACTTCAAGGTGTAAAATATGCCAAACAATTGGGGTTACACCAAGTTGAGATAGAAGGAGACTCTAAATTGTTAATGGACTGGCTGCAAACAGGCAAGTTAGGAGCATGGATGTATTGACAGCCCATATGGGAAATCCTCAAAATAACAAGGGAGATTGGTGCACGCTTCAAGTGGATAAGAAGATCAGCTAATGGTCTGGCTAATACCTTAGCCAAACAAGGGAATGTGAGGGAAAGTTTGTTCTGGGCAGTTTTGTAATTCAGATTACTTGGGCTCAACACCTGTTTTAGGGGTTGACAATTGCATTTTAATTTTGTAGTAATGAAATTACCATTTCCAATAAAAAAAAAGCAATATAGAAGTTAGTAGACCATTACTAAAATGTGAAACACATAAGAATTTATAAAAAAAAAAAAACCAAAAAAGTGAACTTATAAAAGGGGCTACGGCTGGGCCCAGGCCTATGCCTTAGAATGTGCCTTGCCTGTGCATCTAGGTGTGCTAATTGTGTCAATGTGTCTCTCGTGACTATAAGGAGCATTTGTGTCTGTAGAGAACATTGATGTGGGCCCCACAGCTGTGGTCCCACTCTGTCTGTAGGGTAGAATGTATCTAGTCACAGCTGTGGTTATTTTGCTATTCTGTTATTTCTAGTTTCAGTTTTATATTGTTTGTTATCTGTTAGCAGTTATGATGTAA